ATGGTTGTAGGTGTAATCATGTGCCCTTGAAGCTTTTACATTTGTGCTTTTTGGTGACACAAGTTTGTGAACAAACTTTATGATTAAAAAACTTGTTTTTATTGGTTGTGGGTCACAATTTATTCTGAAAAACGACAATGAAAAGTCACATCATATGAATTGTGTCTTAGAACCCATGATGCAAAAAATCGTTTTAAATATGTTGTCTACGAGCGTTCCAAACTTGAAATTCCACATGTGTTCGCTATTTTTTTTAATGAATGATACATGTTGTTTTTTGCAAGAAAGGGAAAAATATATATGTGGACGAAAGGATTGGAGATACCTTCAGCACTAGATGTGATTATTTGTTGCATAGACGGACCTAGAGGGGTGGTTAGGTGGCATGTGCTACTGTGTTGTTCCTCCGTGGTAAAATAAAAAAAATTAGGTTCGTAAAAGGTGCAACCGTTTTATTCTAGATAGTGCAACCGTTTTATATAGTGCCATTATATCCAAAAATTCTTGGGTTCGTTCTTGATTTGTCATTTTGGACCAGATTAATCTTATTCATTTGTGTGACGGACCTAAGATAGACAACTCGAACTCGTTTTTTAGAGCTAGATAACTTATCTATTTCGCCTTATAAACAGGTCGGACTTACCCGTGAGTTGACGGACCTTAAAAAATCTTTTATATTTGACAAATACAAACTTAGGGTTGAGTTTTGGACTATAATCAAGACAAAAACTTGGTGCACCACTGGTGTTTACTCTTTTTAAACATACAACATCACATTAGTTATGGAATCCTAGGTTGTACCTAGGGTTGTGAACGAGTCGATTCAAGTTGAATAATAGGTTATAGTTCGGTTCGAAAAAATAATGTCTGGTTCGATCTTGACTCGAACTCAATTACCTTTTTTAAAGTCGGAATCAAGCTCGAATATTTTTTCAATGTTTGAGCTCGATGCTTGTTTATAAGCTCAAATTCGATATCGATTAACTTGTTTGTTTACTCAATCTTGAGGATTTTTATAAGATCGGTGATGGTAGGCTTTAGTTTAGATTGGCGGTAGCCGACGGTGATTCAGTGGTGATAGTCGGCGATGGTTCAGATTGGTGGTGGTCCGCGATGGTTCAGATGGCGATGGTCGACAATGTTTCAGATCAATGATGGTTCATGGTAGTTCAGATGTCAGTGATAGACGATTGTTAAGATTGACGGTGGATCAAATTGGTGGTGGTTCAAATCGGTAAATATCGGCGGTGGTCGACAGTGGTTCATATGACGATGGTCGGTGGTGATTCAGATGGCGATGGTCGGCGGTGGTCGGAGGTGGTCGACAATAATCATATTGGGTTTTATGAGATTAGGATATATTGGATTAATGTATATTTGCTATTATGAAAATAGAGAATTTCATTCCATCAAAATATTATGTAGTTGATAAGAAATGTTAAATTTCTTTATTTATGGGATTTGTAGGATTTTGACGATTTCTTTCATAAAAAAAAAAAACCAAATAAGAAAATAAATTTAGTCAATAAAATTTAACATTCCAATTCTATCGTATATTTTTTAAAAGTTTTAAAATAAAAAATAAAAATTGTTATTTTAAATAATATTCCTGTCGTGTTGGTTACTTTCCCGATCCTATCCCTATCCATCCCCCCTTTTCTCTTGTTTATTTGCACACCTAACCGTTGGTCCCTCTTCCTGTCCCACATCTTTTGTATACATGTGAACACTTGCACAACTAACCATGACACATAAGTGAGGCAATAAGTCATGATATATAGTTTTTAATATATAATATTTATATATGATAATTGTTATAAATACATTCACATATCTTTGTGACTTTCACAAAATTTGAACCCTGATTTCTAAGAAGACTAAACATGCTAAGCTTGAAGCCCATTTGGTAAGTTATGGCAAATTTATATATTAAGGCCGAACCTTAATGATGATCAAAGGTAAAATGTCAAGAGGGATGCAAATTGCAGTGTAACCACGGTTTTTCTTACAAAAATAATAAGTTTCGTTTTGAATGATTATGTCAATGTATTTTTTTAATAAATAAATCATTGAACTTTTCTATTATAAACGATCAAATTCGTGATTTGTTTTGAATACATAAACCATTGAACTTTTAAAAAATGTTATCCATCATTTTTAACCTAACAAACTACCAACAACTGACTAAGAAAATTTTAAAGTAAAAATAACCTAAATCAGTTTTAATATTCCAAAATCCCTCGCACTTAACAACATCATTCCCTATCGACGCCTCATCGTCCACTCTCGATCACAGCCGATAGTCACCATTGCCCTTTTCCATCAATCTTCCTTTTTTTGATATTTTTTTTGTCATTCCATTTCCCACTATTACCTCAATTTAATTAATGGAGTACGTATGGACAGATAAAAAAGAGAATCCAATAACTTACAAGAACGAATCAAAAATAGGAAGATATCGATGGCGGATCAATTAACAACGGTGATGAAGAGCAGACAATGTTGGGGCGATGAAGGGGAATACTACAAAACAGAAGGACATTTTAGACGGATAATTTAGCCACCTTACTTAAGTTGCATTCTCATTAACATACATAGATACGTTAGACTCATTAACGACCAAATATACGTATGTTTTCCTTCCAATCAATTATTTTATTTTAGATTCAAGTATTAAATAGAATATCCAAATTGAATTTTACGATGGAATATCGACGGATTTGAAGGAAAAAAATAACCATCACTTATTTAAAAAGTTTTCATGGAAATTTGATGGTTTCAAGTTTGGATTTTTCAAAGGACTTTTGAGGAATTAAAAAAAAAATTATGAATTATTTTAATACTTTTTGGACGGAAATTTAACAAATTAAAGTTGCAATTCGGGACGGATTTTCGATAGATTTGAAAAAAATAGTTCATAATTATCTGCATAATTTTCGATGGAAATCATAGAAGGTTTTTTGACGGATTTGAAAAAAATAATTATTAATTATTTGAATAATTTTGATGGATTTTCAACATAAATAATCGATGGATTTTCGATGGAAATAGTAGAAGGATTTGAGAAAAAATAATTATTAATTATTTGAATAATTTTCGATGAATTTGCAACATAAATAATCAATGGATTTTTTCTTAAATAATAGAAGGATTTTTGGTGGATTTGAAAAAAAAATTAATTATTTGAATAATTTTCGATGGATTTTCAACATAAGTGATTGACGGATTTTTGATGGATTTGAAAAAAATAACTATTAATTATTTGAATAATTTTTGACGCATTATTGACCAAAATTTGTCTAAAATCTTCGACTGAATATCAACGGACTATTTTCCGTCTAAAATATGTCAAAAATCCATCGAAAATTTTAGAAAAAAATAATTGACAATCTGTCGAAAATCTTCTAAAATCCGTTGAAAATTTTTGACGAAAAATTCCATTGAAGATACCCATTTTCTAGTAGTGGAGCAATGGTGTTACATGCGAGGAATTTGAATGATTTAGGGGTTTGAAATAGTAAAACTGATTTGGGTTCACTACTAGAAATAGGAGCATCGCCAACTGATAAAATTCGAAGGTGATTACCAATGGGTCACCGAGGGAAATGAATATCCAATGACGATGTCCTATTCCGTTGGTAAATAAAAAATCCATGGTGGATTAAAAAATAATTTAATTTTTAATCTTTTATTAAATCTTTATGGATCTGTCACTAATCCATATGTGATTACCGATATATCCATAACGATTCAATAAACAATTTAAAAAAATTAGATTATTTTATATTTCGCACTTGATTATCTATGGATGGTAGCAAATGTATATTATTGATTGTTTTTATACATGCATTGTCTACATGCATCAATGCATGTATAAATGTAAGTTTGTATGTATGTATATGAAGGTGAAGAATCATGTATAAAGTAGAGTTAAGATGAGAAGCGTAAGAAAAGATTTAGATCATTAATCACTTTTAATCTCAAACTCATCCATAAAACGCGTTTGATACGAGGATTGATCCGGTGCATCTCATCTCAATGCATCTCATTCTAATAGTGTGGAGATCCATTCTTATATTTCTCACATTAACTCTAACCGTCTGTGGATTGATATACATGATGTACATCTGTGGGTGATTCGTCGGTAATTAGTTTCCACGATGATCAATTGGTGAAGGTATCACCCGCGAAGTTGTGATCATCGGACGGATTTTCGTCATTATCGATGGATCATAGATGGTTTCGTCCGTTGGTGAAAGTCCCTAGCTAGGACTGTAGTGGTTAAAAGGATATTGGTAGACAATTTCTAAAAATTCGATTATTTATCTATAAAAAAATGTTTAAAAACTTATTCATTCAAAATAAAAAAAAAATATGGAATATTTCTAAAAAAAAATTTAGATAATAAAAGATGAAGTAAGTTTGAAGCTTACCTAATCAAGTTGTTTGATTTAGAAAAGAAATTAAAAAGAATAGCTTGCGGGGTGATTTTTTTGGGCCCCGTGCAAAGGAAAACGTGCTTTGAATTGCAACTATATTATATCATATTCATCAAACAAATATTTAATTGACAAAAGAGTTGTCATAAAGGATTTCACTACCAACCACGTTTTTTCTATATAAGCAATAAATGCTCTCAACAAATAATTTGACTTTTGATTTAAAACATAAAAATAATATATATATATATATATATATATATATATATATA